GGCATGGTTTTCTGGTGACTGGAAGAAACTGTTGTTCTAGCAAGGCAAGGACCAGAAGTTCTTTTCCTAAGATTGGCTAAACAAATTCTTCTGCCATCAAAAAAAAAAAAACAGAAAGAAGAAAGGAAGGGAGGGTGGGAAGGAAGTCCTTATTTTTTTCAACACTGCAACTCAGTCAGATGAGCAGTTAAAGACAATACAATATCTGACAGAGAATCCAAAGAAAAAATAACTTGTGCTCAACCTAGCAAAAAAAACAAGTTTGACCAAAACGGGCTAATATGAGTATAAATGGAAATTGTGGAGATTTCCAGACATCTAGGATTATCTAAGGAATTGCTTGGACTTAACGCTTTGTCCTGAAGAACTGAAGCGGGTACAGCTACCATACAAAGACAGCTGCCTCCCGGCTGAAAGAAGTATCCACTGGGGAGGTAATGTCGCTATTACATTCACTCACTCACTATGACACTAGCCACTCAGGATGAAATGACAGTATTCTACAAGAACTTACACAAGAGTAAATGAGATGATGCTGACATACAAACCATCAAATCTAATATACAGCAAGAACATAGACAAAGGAGTGACTTATTTAGCTTGGGAGTCAATGAAGGCTTCCCAAAGAAGATGGCAGCATCTTTAAACTTTGATGGGTAGTCAGAAGTTTGTCTGATAGCGAAGAGCCACTGAAAGGAGAGGGGGCCGGAGAGAAATGAGGTTGTTATTTCCTTTCAGGACAGTTGGGGCGCTGGAGCCAAGAACAGACCTGGAACAAAGTTAATGCTATTTTTACAAGCTAGAAAAATACCAGCAGCAGGATCTCAGGCCAGAACCACCCCCACAAAGTGCAAACAAAACTACTCCTATCTGCTGGCTGTCTGCTGGAGAACTCACTAACCAGTCCCTTAAGAACAAAATGTTCTTTATCTTTGATTTTTCATTCCCACAAAGTCCTTCCTCCTCTGTTTCCAGAGCTGGAAAACTCGTGAATTGAGTTGTGTAGCTCTTTGATCTTTATCATCCTCCCATCTCAAGCTAACTTTGGGAATTAGAATCTATGGGGTAGTTCTGCTGAGAGTTACCCCTCCTACTTCTCAGAATGTCAAGTCCACAGCTCATCATGTCAGGCAGGCATATGACATGATCATGGTTGTCAAGGTAGCGTTGTGAGATACCTGGATGGCATCCCACTCCCACTCCACAGCTAGGCTCTGCTGGGGTTGCTCAGCACCAAGAACTTTCAAACAGTTCGTAAGGCTGTTTCTGACTGAAACCTACATAACTTAGAATACTGGACCCCACATTCTTTTAAAGGACATGAGGAGGACAATCAGGGCACCTTCTCGGGGACACAGAGGGGTCAGGGACTCTTCTTTTCTGCCTGCCTATCCACAGGAAAAAGGAGAGAGATCTGCTGAGAAATATTGCACACCTGGGAGAGTGAGACAGATAGATAGATAGATAGATAGATAGAGAGAGAGAGAGAGAGAGAGAGAGAGAGAGAGAGAGAGTCTCTGTGAGTGAGAGAGCATATGTGTTCATGTGTATGTCTGTGTCTGTGCACATGTATGATGTATATATCAGCAGTTTTCAGAGAAAAACCATGAAGGGCCATTGATTGCTAGCTCTTCCCATAAGAGAGAAAACAAAAGTTGAAGAGGTAGCCTGTTTGTAGGCAGAACAAGAATTTAGCCCAGTCAGGAGATCTCAAACCAGTACTAGGAAGCTATATAAAAACAGAGCAGGGAGAACAATACAAATCTCCCCAGAAGGAATGGTCCTTGTCTGGTTTGTTCACTGCTAATAATCTCCAGTGTCCAGACACAGTACAGACAGGTCCCACACACTTGATATTTATCTTTAGTCCACTTGTGGCCACATGGTCCTTTCAGGTTTCTCTGGCCTCTGTTTGCCTCTGAACTCCAACGTGACAGACACAAGTTAGAAAATTGGCATAATTTTTGCTTCCAGGACTATTTACTTTCCCAGATACCCAAATCCTGAACTGGCTGCAAGGTGATGGGAAAAAGAGGCAGGGTAATATGCTAAAAGAACAAAACTTGATCAGAATTATCAGTAAGTCTTGCCACCCCATAGCAATGAGAAGCTCTGCCCTACCCTCTCCTGTCAACACAGGCACCTGAGTTCTGTCCTTTAAGAATCCAGGAATTTATTCTACCTTTTCACTTCACAAACTTACTTCTAATAGGTGGGGAACTGATTGATGTGGGAGAACTTGAAGACATAAGCCAAAACTTCTGGAGGTAAAATTTCTGTCAGTGAGCTCTGTATTTAGACAGCAAATGGGGGGGGGCATCTTGTAGTCTCCCCCTTTTGGACAGTACAAAATGTCCTAGGAAGAAACAGGAAGATGTGTTTTGACACATCAGTCAGGAACTACAGAGCCCGAGGCTCCCCACTACAAGGCCCTCTTCCCTGTAGCACACAGTGGTCCCAGCCAAGACTTTTTCACCTGGGTGAGGCAAATGGTTGAGACTGTCACTCCAGGGAAAATTGCAAAAGATGATGAAGAAAGTTTCCCTGAGCGTCTCCATGATCTGCACTGTCAGGGTAACTGTGAGACAAGAACCATCCATGTCTGTCTCCACCTCCAGCTCTGGCTGTGCTTGCACTTCCAAGTGTGACACTCTCCCGAGGAGCACTGCTCACACTGGAAAGCACTGGAGAGAAGCAACCTTGCCTGTTTGTGGTCAGAACCACACTACACATCAGCCTACTATTCCATGTGCAGTCCTGTTGTTTATTCTCTCTCTGGGACAGAGCCTGAGAACAGAAAGAGCTCTCAGACTTATGAGTGTAATTCACTCTAAAGTTTAATGTGACTTTACAGAATACATTTCTCAGCTACCTGTAAAACACAATACACTGTTCACTGCTAGTTATATGAGATGAATACTATGGTGTTCTTGCTCTCAAGAAATTTCCAGTCTGGTAAAAAAAAAAAAAAAAAAAAAACAATCAGATCCATCATAAAATTACAACATAATGTGACCATTTCTTCAAACCAATAAATATGACAAAAGGAGCATAATTTACAGAATTTCTAAATCAGACTGTTCCACTGAATACCCTGCAAAGGAGAAAGCTTTTATTGGCAGAGTGGAAGGATCACCTAACTGGAAGGCCTCTCCTTTATGACAATGTTGGGAGATGGGAGCTGTAAGAGACGTTTCCATATGGTAGAGGTGGGTTATGTATTAATGGAAAGGGTTCCCAATTAAAGTAACTCCCTTTCTCATTCATTGGCAAAAATTCTTGCCTTTACACATTCTAACACAGACAGAATGTTACTAGATAGGAGTCTCCTGACCTTGAATTCTCAGGCTACAGAACTGAAAAAAATAAATCTATACGCTTGGTATTTGTGGCCTCGGAATGCTGTTGTAAAGTAGACTGAGAGTACAACAGTCATTTCTAGGCAGATAGCACATGTGCCAAGACAGAGATGTAATGGAATGAGATCTGGAAACAAATCTATGCAAGTCCTTGAAGGAGACAGCTCTTGACTCTAAGGATGTGGTTCTCAACCTTCCTAATGCTGGGACACTTTACTACAGTTCCTCATGTTGTGGTGACCCCCCAACCATAAAATTATTTTCATTGCTACTTCATAAATGTAACTTTGCTACTGTTATGAATTGCAATATAAAAATCTGTGTTTTCCAGTGGTCTTAGACAATCCCATGAAAGGGTCGTAGGTGAGAACAGCTGCTCTAAGGTGGAGTGTGAATTGGCGGTTCAGAATGGGAGTCTTACAATGCCACCTGACTGGTTGAACTCTTGCTTTACCTCTCAATTAGCTAAAACCACAAGTGTGTGTCACCACACTTGACTAACATCTTGTGACCTTAATCCATTATAAGAAATGCATTTTAGCCATGGCCTGGTATACACAAGCATATACTCACAATTGGAAATATAGGCTAACAGAACAGTACTTAGTTACCTTTATCATACAAGTCACACTCTATGCTGTGTTCTGCCCTATTCTATTCTACTTTATATCCTTCTATTCTTTCTATTCTGAAAATTCAATGTCACATCTTGGTAGACACTTGCCTTACAAATTACAAACCATGATTTGAAACAAATGCTGCTGTACTAGAATGATAGTGAAAATATATGACTCCAGTAAAACTGAGAGATTCTGAGAATCATAGTAGCCAAAAAAAAAAAAACAACAACAACAACAAAAAAAAAAAACAAAGGAAACTGCAGTTAAGATGAAGATAAGAACAGAATCACCACATTTAGCTATAGTTCTCTGCTTCATTGTATGTTTTCCTATTAAAATTTGGGAGGAGAAGTTGGTTTTATTCCATTTTATTTACAGTTTTTGAGGTGCTGAGAACTGAGCCACACACATCTTGTGCAAACCGGGCAAGTGCTTCACCACTGAGCACTAGCACCAGCCCCAGGCTTTGTTTGAAATTCGCCTTTAACACCATGCCAAAGTGCTTGGTAAGCAGGCAATGGGTTTTTGAAAAATGAATAAATAAATGCATGAACTGAAGACTTGAAAGTTATATAGGAAATTAAATCAAGGCTTCAATCAAGTAATTGGGTTTAGGAAAAAAGCCAAATATTTTATTAAATAAATATATTATGCTTATAAAGATTTTGCACTACCATTAGTAAAAAAAAAAAAGAATATATGAAAATACTCTACTATCACACACTGTAGACGGAAGTGAACATATGCTGTTCAAATTTTCAGGAAGCCAGAGAACTACCTAAATTAATATTATATTATTATGTATTAAGAAAATAATAGTTTATAAATTTTATTTTTAATTAAAAGCTCTCTAATTCTATTCAAATGCCTGCATGTATAAAGGCCTTTCATTATTACTCCTTGAATCAGCAGCCCTTGACCTTTGCTGTGTAAACAAAAAAGAAGTATTGTGGGTTCTTGGCAACATTCTGTTCGCCCAGAGAACCCACAGAGCCAGTACTGGGCAGGGAAAAAGGGTTACCTAGTCCTCCTGCATGGGCGTCAATGAGTGAGGCTGCCACAGCAATGCCCGGGGGAAGACCCAGCTCTTTGGCTGCCTCTGGTGTGAGCCCACTTCCAAGAGAAGTTCCAGGAGGCAGCACGAGATTTCCTGGGTAGACATGAGAGAAAACAAACATCCATCAGTTTGGAATACTCTAAAGTGAACACAGGTTTTTCTTTTTTTTCAAGAGAACCTTTTTGCTCCATCTTCCTTGCCTGCATTTTCTCAACTTCACAGAGACAGAAACCATATAGCCATTACACACCCCTTTGCTCTTTTTGTGACCTTGGTATATGTCTTTGATATGCATGCAAATGCATACTCCAAAAGAAACAGAGAAGTGACTTCTGTAGTGGCTTCCTTTTGCAGGGAAAGGGAAGGAAATATTTTGTTCCAAGAAAGAATTTCTTAAATTTTTGTGTTCCAGCTGGATGAGATAGACCAGTTGAAAGCTATGAGACTACTGCTTGCACAGAAACAATTCTTTGGAGTTTTGCAATGTAGTGACCCTGATATTTCAAGTGACCTTGAAGTCTTACAGTCAGGCAGGCCTTTGGTTAATAATTTATTGATTGTCTAGCTTTGTGTGGGCACTGCCGGGCTGTAAAAAGCAGTTCTTGTTTTTGACCTAGCTAGGAAGATGAGATAAGGACACAGAAAACCACGTGAGGCAAAAGAAAATGAAATGATCTATCTGTTGTCAGGTGTTTAACAGAGACTGACCCCCTTCCACTCTGAAAAATATTCTATAAAGATTTCTGCCTCGAAGGGGCTGTGGAAGTCTTAGACCCTTTATATTCTGTAATATCTTTTGAGCCCCAGGACTCTCCAAATGTGTGCTATGTATTATGTGTGTTATGAGGTCTTTTAGCATTACTTGTTGTTTAGGGAGTGCAAGGGTTGGAAAGAGGTGACTTAGGTTCTCAACACACACACACACACACACACACACACACACACACACACACACGCAGGCAGGCACACACGCACGCACACCAGCAAACAGCACACATATACACACATACAAACACACTCAGATGAAGATGGTAAATGGCTCGAACAGTTCCCTCTAACTGCAAATAAAAGCACCTCCTGGTCCATGCTTATCTCTATTTTAAATAATAAACTTCTGTATATAACTAAGAGCTTGGGAGATCCTTCCATTTTCTGATAACTTCTTTAATTTCTTTAAAGACTCAAAGTTCTTGCTATTCAGGTCTTTCACTTGTTTGATTAGTGTTACCCCAAGATATTTTATGTTGTTTGTGGCAATTGTAAAGGGTGATGTTTCTCTGATTTCTTTCTCAGCCCATTTATCTGTATAGAGTAGGGCTACTGATTTTTTTGAGTCAATCTTGTATCCTGCCACTTTGCTGAAGGTGTTTATCAGCTGTAGTTCCCTGGTAGAGTTTTTCAGATCACTTAGGTAAACTATTATATCATCTGCAAACAGTGAAAGTTTGACTTCTTCCTTTCCAATTTGTATCCCCTTGATCTCCTTTTGTTGTCCTATTTCTCTAGCAAAAAATACAAGTAAAATACTGAAAAGATAAGGAGAGAGTGGATAGCCTTCTCTTGTTCCTGATTTTAGAGGAATTGCGTTGAGTTTCTCTCCATTTTGTTTAATGTTGGCTGTTGGTATTGTTTTTATTATGTTCAGGTATGTTCCTGTTATCCCTGATCTCTTCAGGATCTTTATCATGAAGGGGTGTCAGATTTTGTCAAAGGCTTTTCAGCTTCTAGTGAGATGGTCATGTGGTTTTCCTTTTGCAGTTTGTTTATACAATGGATTACATTGATAGATTTTCTAATGTTGATCCAACCCTGCATCCTGGGGATGAAGCCAACTTCATCATGGTGGATGATTCCAGAGTTCTACAAGGTTGACACCAACTGACAATCTAAGCAATAGTGTAGAGGCTACCTTAAATACCCTCTCCTGATAATGAGATTGATGACTAACTTATATGCCATCCTAGAGCCTTCATCCAGCGGCCGACGGAAGTAGAAGCAGACACCCACGGCTAAACACTGAACTTAACTGGAATCCAGTTGCAGAGAGGGAGGGGTGATGAGCAAGGGGGTCACGACCAGGCTGGTGAAACCCACAGAAACTGCTGACCCGAACAAGTGGGAGATCCTGGTCTCCAGACTGATAGCTGGGAAACCAGCATAGGACTGATTCAGACTTCATGAACGTGATTGTAAGTGATGAGGCCTTGGAAATCTATGGGGCCTCTTGTAATAGATCAGTGCTTTCCCCAGCATACGAATAGACTTTGGGAGTCCATTCCGCATAGAGGGTTACTCTCTTAGCCTAGACACAAGGGGGTGGGCCTAGGTCCTATCCCAAAGGATATTTCAGACTCTGAAGATCCCCCATGAAAGGCCTCACCCTCTCTGGGGAGCAGAAAGGGTATGGGATAGATAGGGTATTAGTGGGGTGCAGGGGAGGAGAGGAGGGAAAGGGAACTGGGATTTACATGTAAAAGAATTTTGTTTCTAATTTAAATAAAAATGGAAAAATTACTTATGCAAAAAAGAAAAAAGACATATCAGAATTAATTCATCTTTCTTTTCTTTAATTTTTTTACTTTATCACGAGGACCTTTAAAGTTCCCTGCCTTGCTCATTAACTGTATCTAGTGAATTGTGCTGGTCGAGTGAACACAGTCCAAATACACAAACACAGAGGTAGAAGAAGTCTAGCCACTGGTCTTCATTGAATTCCCAGGACATAAGAACTGTGGAAGAATCATACTAGGAGATTCTGGACCATCTCTTTACCATGCCACCATATGTATTGTTTACCATATGATAAACATTCCTCCTGAGATAAACTCTTCTAACCTCTCCACTGTGCTGAGAACATAGCATGTCTTTTTGTCACTTCGTTTTTCTAACAAAATCTATGATGGGTACAATAGTATCCATTTTTTCCCATTTTACAGGTGGATGTCAGGAAATTGAAATTTTTCAGACAGTAAGTCTCCTTCAGCGATATAACTTAAGAGCTGGAGGTAGGCCTTAGGTTCCCTGCTACCATCAAATCTTGCACTATGATATCAAAGCACAAATTATTCTCAAACATGCTTTGACTAAATGAAGGGATCAAGATAAATATTTCTAAAACAAGCATTATTGTACATTTAAAAACTACCACCATTTGGAAATCTTGCCTATGGAGTTATTTTAAGGTTTGATTTCTAAAAGAAAGTAAAAACTAGCAACACTGTAAAGCTTGATCTTCAAGCTCTACAACTTAAAAGAGGTAACTTCCATGAACAGTTTTAGACAAGAATGTGAATTAGCATGGAAGACCTCTTTTCTCTGGGGAGACTGAGAAACAGTTTAGTTGGTAAATTAATTAATTTAGCTGTGGAAGACTGTGGGCAGAGTCCTGGGCTAGCAGCAGACCTGGTGTCAGTGTACACGTGGCAGAAAGATCTCTCAACAGGAAGAATAGCTTGAACAAGAACCAGGGAAGAAGAGATAAGTACCATGGGTGATTGGTTCAGGGCTGGGTAAAGGAGATGGAGCACAAGATAGGTTGGAAGCAGCAGGCGACAGTCAGAGATGGTTAGAGGAGCCAGCCTTACAATAAGACTTCAGTGCTTGGGCCTCAGCACTGACACTACCAGATTCCATGGAAGAGATGATGCAAGAGAGAAGCTTATTCCAGCAACAACTTAGGAGAGGATTCGCTTGATATCAGTGAAGAAAACAGCAGCAAAGCTCTTCAGTCATCAAGAGTGGCATCATTAAGGCAAGAGTAATTGGGATGCAGGAACAAAAAAGACAAGAGAGATTTTGTGCTTGTGGTGGTAGCTTTAATGTGGGGAGTATGGAGGGGGAGAAGAGGCCATGGTTTGAATTCCCTTATCATGAAAAGAAAAGCTGACTGGCTAAAACTGTTGAGGGCACTGACAGTGGCCAGCTGCCAGCCTCAACTCCCTTGGGGATCCTCAGTCCTGTGACTCAGAAGGAGGAAGGAAGGCTGTCAGGTGCCCTTCACCCTACAACACTCTGCTTGGCTGGCCAAGGTGATTTCAAACTATCGCACCACTCAGGGTCTCCCACTTTCACAGATAATCATTCTCAGTTAACAACTAACAACTCAGTTAACTATCTCAGCTCTGGTCCTAAAGAATTCAGCCCAGGGCAGTGAGCCAGGCTTATGAAGCTAGTGATCTAGGAATAAAAGCTAATGTTCACCATGATGAATATTCCTCCTTAAATTGGAACCACAGCCTTCAGGCATCATCTGTCTGACCTCAAACAAGAAGGAGCTCTGTTTATCCAAACCAGGACACAGCATAAGACAGGAAAGTGGAAATGCGCACTGTGAGAAAAGAAATCTCTCACACCTTCATTTTCTCAGCCAGAAGCACCTTAGTGGGTCTAGGACTGTTAGATGCCATCCGATAACTTTTCCCTAAAATTTTCATTCATCATGAAATTTAATAACCCACAGCATTGCTCTTCCCAGAGCTAATCAAAATGTCACTGACTCAGCATCGGCGATTTCTCTATGCTTCCTAAAACCACTCACTCAAGTGTTTCACAAACCTTTTAGAAACAGAGCTTAGAAGATGGTCTACAACAATGTTCACCTACCTCATGCCAAGTTCTAGGTGTTGGTAAATAAGTGAAAGAGGCCCCTAGGACTTCAAAAGATTCACACTAAAGTCTGGAACTAAGATGGTGGGAAACTAAGATACTAAACTGTGTAGAAGATATGGGAAAGGTAGAATGTATAGTATATGCCTAAAGAATTGAGAAGGGCTCTGTTCATTGGCCTCAGAGAAGAAATAGAATCTTCAAGGCAGAGATGACACCTGGGCAAGGGTTGGAATGACTTGCAAAGGTCGAAAATGGATGTTATCATAGTCGAATTAGAATATTCCAGGAAGTCGCTCCATCAAAACAAATGGTAGTTCACTGTAGGGAGCCCACAGGGGCCAGGAGTTGAGGTATCCAGTCTATTACGAAAGTGGGCACTGATCAGGGATGGGGAATTTGAGCAGCCCATGAGAGAGGCAATGTAAGGGCTGCAGACAGCAAACCAGTGAGAGCCTACCTACTCTTGACACTCATATTTGATTTTT